ATAATGATCCTTACCTTAAACACTTGAACAAAAGTGGGAACTGGCATTTGTTAAAACTGCTACTTAAAATTTCAGAGAGAAGCATGACAGTGAATGAGACTATTAGGAGCTCAATTTTTGAGAAACTCTCTGTTACGGGTGCCTTATTAATTTTACAGTGTAATTAAATTACGCTCACACAGTTTTCAGAATATACAACTAATAAAAAAAGCATACTGTTTTAATTTAGAGAGAGAGGGAGATGGAGAGAGATAAAAGAAAAAAGGGGTTTCTGATGTGTATCTCTGAGCATAATAGGATAACGGTAGCTTAGTGTATCATGTTCTGTGCTTGTAATCCTTAATATAAAGCGATTCATTTTAAGGTCCGTTATCAGCATTGTGCCCTTGACCAAGAGACTTCACTTCAGGTTGCTCTATATCAGGGGTGTCCAATCCTGCTCCTGGAGGTCCCCCTTCCTGCCAAGGTTAGCTCCAGCCCTAATGAAACACACATGAACTAGTTAATTTAGGTCAAGAAGATGACTCTCCACGCAGGTGTGTTGGAGCTAACTTTGCAGGGAGGTGGCCCTCAGGAGCTGGACTAAACACCCTTGCTCTGTGGAGACTGTCAGTGGTTCTGAATGCTGATTGGTCAATACAGTGTTACAGACAACTGTGATCACCATTCATTCATTCATTGTATGTAAAAGAGCAGTTTGAACGTTCTGCTAAACATCTTTTTTGTTTCACAAAAGAAAGTCTTATAGTTTTGATTTTAGGCAAACTGTTTCTTTAAGAAAGAACATCAACCCACTCACTCTACTTATAGAACTGAGCAGTGATTGTAGAACAAGTGTGTGATATCCTGTGTTCACTGAAAAATCCCGCCTTGCTCTGTGGAGACTGTCAGTGGTTCTGAATGCTGATTGGTCAATACAGTATTACAGACAACTGTGATCACCATTCATTCATTCATTGTATGTAAAAGAGCAGTTTGAACGTTCTGCTAAACATCTTTTTTTGTTTCACAAAAGAAAGTCTTATAGTTTTGATTTTAGGCAAACTGTTTCTTTAAGAAAGAACATCAACCCACTCACTCTACTTATAGAACTGAGCAGTGATTGTAGAACAAGTGTGTGATATCCTGTGTTCACTGAAAAATCCCATAAGAGCTTAACTCTCCCCATTAAAAGTAAAGCTGTGGTCACATTTACAGTTGCTCTTTGAAATTTCATGGGTTAAATCCAGTCGCTTAAATAGGATTCTGCATGATCAGGAGTTCCCATGCAGATTTCAATTATGTTAAAGGACTAGTTCACCTAAAAATGAAAATTTGCTTGAAATTTAGTCACCCTCAGGCCATCCAACATGCAGATGAGTTTGCTTCTTCATCAGATCAGATTTGGAGAAATGTAGCATTGCATCACTTGCTCACCAATGGATCCTCTGCAGTGAATGGGTGCCGTCAGAATGAGAGTCCAAACAGCTGATAAAAACATCACAATAATCCACAAGTAATCCACACCACACCAGTCCATCAATTAACGTCTAATAAAGTAAAAATCTGCATGTTTGTAAGAAACAAATTCAATGTTAAGCCACTTTAACTTTAACTCTTTCCCCGCCATTGATGAGTTATCTCATCTTTTACAAGAAAACGCAAAGAGAGTTTTTACGGCTTTTCGTGTTTTCACTGTTATACACTCAGGGGCGCTATTGCGCATCTTCTGAATGAGTACGAGAAACCTCCCGAACAAAAACACATGTGAACAGGACGGAGAAACGAGCGATCTCTTATGTAAACAGATGCATATGAAAAATAATGCGATTATCAGCAATAGACAGCATATAAATGAAAACTGCATAATGTTACAGAGTAAAATGTTGATCCAGGAAGTGGTATACGTCTGTACAAGCTTTGACCGTATTGATGGAAGCGATTTACTGGATTTATGCTTTGGTAATCGTACTGAATATTATCCAGATATAGTTTTTTTTTTTAATTATACAATTTTTATGAAACCTACCTATAGTCAAGTGTTGATAAAAAACAAAGAATGCTTTAAGCTAGAATAAAACTGTTTTTTTTTTTTTAAACTAGAGGCTCTGATCTTTATTTTGGTGTATTGCATATTCAAATATTCATACAGCAAAATACACTGGAGGCCATAAATTTTTTATGAAAATCATCAAAATCGCTGGCGGTGGCTGGCAACTTTTTTCAAAAATGCTGGCAGGGAAAGAGTTAAACTTTAAATTTCACCAAATCTGTTCTGATGAAGAAACAAACTCATCTATATCTTGGATTGCCTGAAGGTGAGTAATTTTTTCAGCAAATTTCTATTTCTTTTCCTTTAAAGTTGGTTACTTTACACCTTAAGAGTGAAATAAACCAGAATGACATAGCACACACAAAAGGTACAATTGCATTTCAGCTAAATTCCATTTGCAAAAAAGGTCCACTGTCTAATGTCAACTGCTTGAGGCATGAAGCACTGCTCAAACAGAAGTCACTTTCAAACTAAGCAGCTTCCTGTTGGTCAGTGCAGCAAATCTGTGTGACCAGCTTACAGTGGTGTGAAAAAGTTTTTACGCCAGATGTAACGGGACACACACCTTCCAAAAAGTTCAACTTTTGTCTCATCAGTCCACAGAATATTTGCCCAAAAGTCTTGAGGATAATCCAGATATTTTTTTGCAAATATTAGACGAGCCTTTGTGTTCTTTTTGGTCAGCAATGGCTTTTGCCTTGGAACTCTCCCATGGATGCCGTTTTTGCCCAGTCTCTTTCTTATTGTTGAATCATGAACACTGGCCTTAATTGAGGCGAGTGAGGCCTGCAGTTCTTTAGATGTTGTTCTGGGTTCTTTTATGACCTCTTGGATGAGTCGTCGTTGTGCTCTTGGAGTAATTTTGGTTGGCCGGCCACTCCTGGGAAGGTTCACCATTGTTCCAAGTTTTTTCAATTTGTGGATAATGGCTCTGACCATGGTTCGCTGGAGTCCCAAAGCCTTAGAAATGACTTTATAATCCTTTCCAGACTGATACATGTCAACTGTTTTGATTCTCATC